AGGTTTTTAACAAACAGACTGTGTCCATAATTTTGGACCAACAATAGAAAAAGCACGTTCACCCCCTCAGATTAAGTCTAGATCTCTTTGTTGAGATGACTTTAATGATCTTGAGTTATTTCATTTCAAAAGATTTAGAGAGATATTTTGGAGCTAATCCGTTCATGGCTTTAAAAACAAAAAGTTGAATTTTAAAATCAATTCTGTATCAAACTGGCAGCCAATGCAACGAATGCAGTATGAGATTATAATATCAAAAGTCTGCCTGCGCAATTCACCGTCTGAAGACAACTAATATTGGATTGACTCATTCAATTCAAAGAGAATTACAGATGAGACGAGCGAAAGGATCACTCTCTCAAACTCTGCAGATGTTTACTGCAGCATTTATCACATTTAAGAGCAGAATCGATAAATAACACCCAAGTTGTTCACAGAGTGTTTTACATAGCCATCAAGAGTTTTATAGAGGTGTAAAGTGCTTGAAGAACCACTGATTTGGTTGACGAGGTTAAAGAACAATAAAAGACGCCCAGAGACTCAGCAAGTTGTTTTTATGTCTCTTGGTAAAAGACAAAAACTGATTTCCGGAAGGTTAATAAACTCAAGTATAAGTGTAGACATCAATAATAGTGATGCTTGACTGGGTAAACACCACTAATGAATTGTCTCAGTAACTTTGGTTGTGGCCGAAAGCGTTCTGGTGAGATGATCCCGATCTTTCTTCTGGATGACAGATGTTTGAAGAGCGCTGAGGATCAAGGCTCGGGGAGTTTTGAGACGAGTGTGTCGGCGGGTTTGTAACCTTTGTAGTGCCAGCCTCTTTGTGCACGACGCCGTCTCATCTTCAGAGGAAACACTTTAATGCCATTTTCATATCAACATGACGCATCAGATCAACTTCAGCTCCTCTTTTATCTCCCTCGCCTCGCTCATTTATTAGCCTTTCTTTTCAACGGTTTTCAGGAATGATGTACTGTGGTCCTGACACTGTGTATTTGGGGTTTTAGATTTAACATAATGTCTTTATTACAACATACATATTTATCTGTGGGTTTATATCAATATTATGTATGTTGTAATAAAGATTTTATTTCTTGTTTCATTTATTGTTTCATTTCTCAATTTTTTTGTGCTCTAATGATTCAGTATTTATCTGTATATTTTATATATATATATATATATATATATATAAACATACAGAGAAATATTGAGTCACTAAAGCACAAAAAAATTGAGCTATTCGATATAGATATATATTTATATCTCGATTGACTAAATGTTTTTTGCTCTAAGGACTCAATATTTCCCTGTATGTTTTATCTATATACATATATATATTAGGGCTGTCATATGGTGATAATTTTTTTTTAATTAATTACACAATGTGGCAGTTACTCAACATATTTAATCTCCAATTAATTATTTAAATTGCCCCCAAAAGTCATTATTGTGTTAAATAATAAAATAATAAAATAGACATTACAAGAAGCAGCTTTAGAGAAAAAACACACACACACACACACACACACATATATATATATATATATATACTGTATATATATATATATATATATATATATATATATATATTTAATATTTAATATATATTATACGGAGGCGTATTGCATTCACTTAAAGAAAAAAAATCTACTCTGTTTTTCTGAATTAATGAGTTAATTTTTCATGAGAAAATGTATTTTTGCTGTTTTTCTGAATTAACTCATTAATTCAGAAAAACAGAGCAAAAAAAAATCCATTAAAAATTAACTCATTAATTCAGAAAAACAGAGCAAAAACTTTTTTTCTCATGAAAAATTAACTCATTAATTCAGAAAAACAGAGCAAAAAAAATTTTTCTCATGAAAAATTAACTCATTAATTCAGAAAAACAGAGTAGATTTTTTTTTCTTCAAGTGAATGCAATACGCCTCCGTAATATTATTATTATTTTATATTATAAATATAAAATCTTGAAAGTACATTAGCCAAAGAGGGACATACCCGTTAATTCAAGCTTCGCCTTTCGCGTTTACGTTTGAGTTAACACCAGTTAACACTCAAGCCAAGTTAATCTTGGACTACATTGGCCACCGTAGGAGTTAAAACGAAATCGAAATTGAGAGGAAATGAAATTAATATTCATTAGATGGTCATATACCTTTTCACCACTAGATGAGGGTAGAAATCACACAGTGTAGCTTTAATATGGAACAATGTAATTATTTCTCATGATACGCTAATTATGAAACTAAAACTGAATGTCTAAATGAGTACGTTATTTTGAATCATTGGTTCACCCGATTGATTCACTCAAAACGTGGATTCATTCGGAAAATAAACACCGTTGTGTGTTACTCGGACACAGACGTCAGTTCTGCTCTAGCTTTATAGGTAATATTTTTGTTGGCAAAATTAAGCAAAAGCAGACAATAGTGTGTCTAAAATATAACGCAATATTAACTTATTTATTGAACTGCTGTATAAAATCAATATCACATTGGCACATATAATCACATTGGCATATATAATATATATTATATATTGAATTTTAGGGTTGCAATCTTGCAAAACATATTTATGTATACACTCACATAAATGCATGCAAGTTAATATTGCTGTTTTGTGGTTTTATATCAGTGGATATAAATGAAAATGATCAACAAAAAAATGCAAAATTAAAAATAAATTAAACATTATAAATCTATTTTGGCTTCTTTTACGTCTTTTCAGAGCAGATGCATAAACAGCAAGCTCTATATTACACATCATCAAACGGCTGGAAATATAGAGATGTAATGTTTAGCGCTCGGCCATGCATACTGAATGAGAGGTACAGAACTTCAAACCCAAAAATTTCCCAGCATCCATTTTTGATCCTACTTGGATTGAATCAGCGCCATCGGGTCTGCCTCCGATTTCCATTTCTGTTTTATTTCAGAGTGTATTTTTGGTGCATATCTAATAATAATAATAATATCCCAAGGTTCCTCTTGTGCTTGATGTCATTTCCTGACTTAAGATCTTCCCTTTGAAGGGCAGCGTGAGCGTTTCCCCCAGCTGTGAAGACATTAGGGTGTTATTAATGTAAATAAAGATATTAATGTAGCAGGATAAAGTCATAAAGCTGCAGTCATTTTCATCATATCCCATGCTGCCATTGTTTTCATCATCAGGGGTCATTCATGATGTTCTGTTCATCTATGATTGGGAATCTCGTGGGTTTGGCTGATGCCCGTTTCTGTGCCAGACACCGCAGACTGGCACACACCTCGCCCACACAGACACACACTCGAAGGGTGTCGCTCACACCTGAGAGTGAAGCCCGGACACACGCTGTGAGGGGGACGAACTTTCATTGTGCTCCGTTCTGCAAGAGTTATTGTTTTTCTCGGAGGTTTCTCCTCATTGGTGCTCTGGGCTGGTTTCTGCGAACAAGTATAAATGAATAGACGGCTTTTTTCAGTTTCACGTGGATTAGTTTTCCGATCAGCACTTCCTCTCGGAGCCGATTGGCCGATCACACAGGATTCAGTGTTACACGGCCTTGATAATGTCTTTGCGTTAGAAGTTGGACAATAGTTTTCCCTAAAGCACGACTCATCCCCAGGATTTACATTTTTCAAAGAATATTTAAAATAATGAATAGTAGAAATTCATATTTAATTTTATTTCTAATAATCAAAAAATTAATTTGCATACATTGTGATGTAGATAGATAGATAGATAGATAGATAGATAGATAGATAGATGGATGGATGGATGGATGGATGGATGGATGGATGGATGGATGGATAGACAGACAGACATACAGACAAAAGGATAGATAGACAGACAGACATGATAGATAGATAGATAGATAGATAGATAGATAGATAGATAGATAGATAGATAGATAGATAGATAGATAGATAGACAGAAAAAGGGATAGATGGATGGATAGATAGACAGACAGACAAAAGGATAGATAGATAGATAGATAGATAGATAGATAGATAGATAGATAGATAGATAGATAGATAGATAGATAGATAGATAGATAGATAGACAGAAAAAGGGATAGATGGATGGATAGATAGACAGACAGACAAAAGGATAGATAGATAGATAGATAGATAGATAGATAGATAGATAGATAGATAGATAGATAGATAGATAGATAGATAGATAGATAGACACACATACAGACAGAAAAGGGGATAGATAGATAGATGGATGGATAGACAGACAGACAGCAAAAGGATAGATAGATAGATAGATAGATAGATAGATAGATAGATAGATAGATAGATAGATAGATAGACAGAAAAAGGGATAGATGGATGGATAGATAGACAGACAGACAAAAGGATAGATAGATAGATAGATAGATAGATAGATAGATAGATAGATAGATAGATAGATAGATAGACACACATACAGACAGAAAAGGGATAGATAGATAGATGGATGGATACACAGACAGACAGCAAAAGGATAGATAGATAGATAGATAGATAGATAGATAGATAGATAGATAGATAGATAGATAGACGGATGGATGGACAGATGGATGTGTTACTAGTGATAAAGAGAGTATTGTTTTGCAGTCAATAATTCCAGCACATCAGCTCCAGTTTCCTCTAATTTGCATCTGAGACACTTTTGTAAAATGTGCTATTTTTATCTAGTTGAGCTGTTGTCATCAGTGTGTTTTAATTGCAGGGACAGATGTGAAGGAGTAATTAGCTTGTGCTTACTGATATGAATGTGAATGCTCTGCCTTCCCCTCGGTGTGGCTGCATGTTTAGCCTGGCGTTGAGCCTCCATCTCCTGCTCTGTTTCATAGTAAAGTTGACGTTTCGTTTTGATTTTTAAGTCATTGTAGTTGTCTTTTCTTTTACGTCAATTATTTTATGTTCTTTTCTTTTTCTTTTTTCCTCGCCCTCCCCCTCCTCCCTGAACTCTTTATCTATAATTTACCCCCCATGTTGCCCCTCCCATCACAATCGCCCTCCAAGACGTTGCCCTTCCTTCTACTGTCCCCTCATTGACCGATGCCACTACTGACCATGTAGCGTCCAGTCCTGCCGAGCGCAGCGGTCCCGCTCCTTCTGCCCCGCGTGACGTGGTGGCGTCTCTGGTGTCCACTCGATTCATCAAGCTGACCTGGCGTCAACCCGCCGAACCGCACGGGGAGAACATCACCTACTCTGTGTTCTACAGTCTGGACGGCACTAACAGGTGAAGTCAAGCCAAAATCTTTTTCTAGCACATTTAAAAGCATCAGAGTTGCACCAAAAAGTCATGTACATATAAAAAAGAAACCATGCAGCATACAAAATAAAAATACATACAATAAAAACCTTTAACCCTTTACCTGTCACCCCCCTTTTTGATAATTGACATTAAAATGCACTATACAAACTTAAATGGTTGTAATTCAAGAATGCTTTGGAACATACACCCAAGTTTTGTCTTGTTTTAAAGAAAACAATCAGCAGATTACTTCAAAATATTAAAGTATGAAAAGTTATGAAAGTTATAATTTACAGTAAATCAAATATACTTTATTAATATAAAATAAATATTTTACAAAATATGTTTTACTATAAAATTACTATAAAATGAAAGCTATATATCTAACCAAGTTGTGTTCCAAATTTAAAGTTGATATCTCAAAAACTGAAGTTCCCATGGGATTTTGTTTAGGCGTTATACCAAAAATAGCCATTGAATTCCATTTGAATTTAATTGTATGCATTCTGCCATAACAAATTAATAAATTTCTGTCCAAATATCACTTATGTCACTAAATATGGAACCTTGAGACTCAGACCTTTCCCACAATATGTGTTTTGTCAAGATTAGAAAAGGTTTTGATAATAAATTATGAAAGATGATGCCCAAAAGGGGAGGGGCCTAATAAAAAATACCGTTTCTATGGTAACCCAACGTCCAATTTCAAAATGAGTTTCACAGGATGAATTCTGAGTTCGTAAGCTTTCAAATGATGCCTAATTAATGATAACTACTAAAATATGTGATATAATGATCATAAAATATATATATTTATATATATATATAATATATTATACTTTTTAAAGGACTTCTTACCTTACTTTTTAAAATATAATTTTATCTTTTTTTTATTGACAAATACAAATTATGTTTTATTATGAACTTTTAGCACTAAAAACTAAAGTTTCAATTATTAAAAGTGTGTGCGTCGACTTTTTGTGAGAAAGGTCAGAAACTCCTGTAATGACGTTGATTTTTTTTTTTTTTGTCATAAATTCATACATTACTGTTCATTCATAATTTGTAAGAAAAAAACAGCACTTAAATATCTATTTAGGAGTCTTACGATATATAGTTTGTCATGACTTGATTAGGATTTAATAGTAATATAGTGAAGTAAATTTAGATTGCCCGTATACGGGCAAGTGACAGTTTTAACTAATCCAATCAAAATCCAGAAAACAAATAAGATTAAAGGGATACTTCACTTTGAAATTAATTTTTTATATGTTTTATTTTACCTCAAGGGCATCCAAGATGTAGGAGTCTTTGTTTCCGCAGTATTTTCAATTTTGATATTTTTAGGTCAAACCGTTCTCGTCTGTCAGTATAATGGAGGTCTATGGTCACCACCTCAAAGAGCATGCACAGAGAAGTCCAAATTAAACATGAGACACGAAACCGCAAAATACCGTGGAAACGTTTAATGCACAACCCGTTTTTTTTAGTTTGACGCGCCGACCAATGAGATTGGTGCTTTTGCTCACGTGTTTGGAGCTTCTGAAGTTACAGTAAAACACAACTTGGGGGCGCTCAAGCACAAAGCGGTTTTGCCGAGCACACATATGCAACGGCGAAGAAGATAGCGGAAGAAATGCTGCATTCACAAGGACCGCTCATCTAAATATTTGGTGGGATGCGTGTCTCACACCTTAAAACACAGATCGCATCTCATACTACTGTGGTTTCCTCGCAGGGAGCGTGTGGAGAACACCAGCGGCCCGGGAGAGATGCAGGTCACCATTCAGAACCTCGTCCCCGACACCAAGTACACGTTTCGGGTGGTCGCGTCCAACGCTAACGGCCCGGGCGAGAGTTCTGCCCCGCTTACCGTGGCCACCCAGCTGGAGGGTAAAACACCAACACACACACATGTACACACTTCAAGCACAGCTTTGACCACTAGCCAGGTCTGAGGTTTCTCTCTCTACACCTCTCGCTCGCCCACACTAGTCGTGTTTGCTGCCGCCCGCTTGTTGATCTGGGACTCGCTGAGGTTTCTTCACTGTACAGCATCTGTCAGGAGAGACAGGGACCAGTGTTAATGAGTCGAGAGGTACGGTCGGAGCTGTCAGGGAAGCTGATCTCACGGGATGAAAGGAGACGGTTGCTCCTGGTGTGTGTCCACGGTCGAGCGAAAACACCAACCGCCTGATGTGCATAGCACGGATATAGACTAAAGGAACCGCATCCCAGCGTGTATGATATCTGACGTGTCGTATGCGAGATCCAGATCCAGAATCAAATAGTAGGGATGTGCCGATACCGAAAACCGATAATTCTTGAAAGCCGATATCCGATAGGGCTGGGTAATAAATATCGATTTCTCGATATTAATCGATTCTCATTTTTACGAACCGATATCGATTCTTAAATCGATTAGTCATCCTGTTTCATTTGAATGAATGGATCATTGTATCGCGGCTGCGCGCATCCAAAAAAATCGCAATAATCTTTGTCCTTTGTTACTATTGATATGAAACAAAGTCTCAATTTTCAAATTATGTCCATTTTCTTTAGAGATTCAAAAACATAAATAACGTTTTGGCGCTGTGGCGTGAGATCAAGAGAAGCAGCAGCGCTGATCTCTCTTCCGGCTTAATAATACCAGTCACAGCGCCAAATAAACATGAAAGTGTGTTAAAGATAGAGTACAACTTATCGAAATCCGGATCATCTCACATTGATTCGCTCAATCAGCGTTTCAACCGTGGAAAGACGTCAGTTAAACAGCTTGTAATCAATGTATCGTCATATTTACCTCAGAAAACCCACATAAACTCGTTAGTCAGCTAGAAAAAATAACTCTATAGAGGAGCATTTTGCTAAATATATACACCATATTACATATGCATTATAATCTTAATGTTCTTAATGCATATTTGAATAAATCTGGCAAGTTTTTATGACAGCCACCATTTAAATGTTTATATTTCATATAATCTTCTTATTATAAAATAAACAAAAGTGTAATTTAAGTGTTTGTATAGCCACAAAACAGTTCATTATTACCTTCATATTAGGGTAATGAAGTCTATAGGCTACAACTAGACTCCCATAGTTTACAGCATTAGTTAAGAGATTTCCTTGAGAAAATTTGCCATTTATTGTAACTGATATCCAAAATAATCAATATCGAATCGAATCGAATTGCAAGCTTGTGAATCGAAATCGAATCGAATTGTGAATTTTGTGTCAATACCCAGCCATAATATCCAATATATCGGCTGATAAATCTACATCCAAATTTTTATATATTTTTCAGAGCCTGATTACAAAAACACAAGTCTTAATAAGTCATTGATAATAATTTTTAAATGTTTCTCGAGCATCAACTCATCATATTAGAGTCATGTGACACTGAAGACTGGAGTAATGATGCTGAAAATACAGCTTTGATCACAGGAATAAATAGTATTTTAAAACAGAAAACTGTTCTTTTAAATTGAAATAGTATTTCACAGTTTTTACTGCATTTTCGATCAAATAAATGTAGCTTGGTGAGCAGAAGAGACTTCTTTCAAAAACATCGTATCTTATTTTTATTTCTTGTAAAACAGCTACTCTTAATAACATAACATATTTAATATATAGAGAGATGAGGTTCTAGGTTCACTCCCTGCTTGACTTATACGAACCAAACGAATTAAAGCGACACAATTTTCACTTTCTAGGTCTTTCTAGGTTAGCACTCCTCCGTTTCCTTTGCATGCCACACGCGGACCACAATGCATTTCACTCGTTTGAAGTGTCGAAATATCCTCAGCGGGATTTTGATGCTGCTTTCTCGCCAGAATATTCTTCTTTTACCATGTGATACTGTCATTATTTAAAGTATCCAGCTGCTGTGGGTTGAAACGTGTCGTCTTTTGTCACTACGCGCTGTTGAAGTTTTCAAAAGCAAAAAATAAAATAAGTGTCAACCAAAAGAAAAAAGCAGAACTGTAAGCAGTGGAAGACTGTGAAGAAATTACTTCAGTGGTCCTTTGTGTTTTCAAACATGTACTTAAAGCTGAAGTACAGACAAACACGCCGTCTAAAACTTTATAAAAACTGGAAGAACTTTAGTTTTGTGCAGATTTGTACCAGTGTTTCTTTTTTTAGATGTAGCTGATCTTCCTCTCTTCTTCATCTCTCAGTTCAGGTACCGGGTCCGGCCCCGAATCTGCAGGTGGTGTCAGTCGGACCCGCTTCAGTCGCTCTGAGCTGGGAGAGACCGGTCAACGGGAACGGGGACATTCAGACATATAAACTCTTCTACAGTGAGAAGGGACAAGACTCGGAGCAGGTGAACAACTCATCATCATCATCATCATCAGCTCATTAACATATGACTGCCCACATTTACAGATCAGTGCAGATGTAGCATTTAGCAACTTGACCTTAATCTAACAAAGAATTATCTTGATATCGTCATAGTATTTTTATAGTTATAGTTATACCACAGGGGATTTTTTTCGCATCGTTTTTTTTTCTTTTACATTTACTAATGTTATTCCAATTTTTCTACATTTATATTTTTCTCCAATTTTTCTATATTTTTTGCATTTTATTTTTGATAATACCAAATTTTTTACATATATATATATTTTTGCACATTTTCTGTGATGCCACATTTTTTTTACATATATGTTTTTGCACATTTACTCTGATAATACCAAGTTTTTTTTACATATATTTTTGCACATTTACTCTGATAATAACAAATTTTTTTTCACGTATATTTTTGCACATTTGCTCTGATAATACCAAGTTTTTTTACATATATTTTTGCACATTTACTCTGATAATAACACGTTTTTTTTACGTATATTTTTGCACATTTACTCTGATAATACCAAGTTTTTTACATATATTTTTGCACATTTACTCTGATAATACCAAGTTTTTTACATATATTTTTGCACATTTACTCTGATACCACATTTTTTTACATATATTTTTGCATTTTATTTTTGATAATACCAAATTTTTTACATATATAATTTTGCACATTTACTGTGATAATACCAAATTTTTTTACATATATTTTTGCACATTTACTGTGATAATACCAAGTTTTTTACACATATTTTTGCCATTTATTTTTGATTATACCAAGTTTTTTACATATATTTTTGCATTTTATTTTTGATAATACCAAGTTTTTTTACATACATTTTTGCACATTTACTCTGATAATACCAAATTGTTGTTTATTTGGATGTATTTTTTGCACATTTACTGTGATAATACATTTTTTTTTTATTATTTTGTGCATGTTTACTGTGACAACACTTTTTTTTGTGTATTAGACATTCTGGTGATGATGTGTTTTAATTTTTTTTTTTTTAAGTAACATTTACTGTGGTAATACCATGTTTGTTTGTTTTTTGACCCAGTTGTTTTAGACGTACAATGGTAATATTTTGGTTTTGTTTGTTTTTTTCTGGGGGGTTTTCTCGCTTTTTAGACATCATTTTCAGTGTTTACACGTAAAGATGGAGGGTGACCATATCAGGGGTTAATTACATAGTTTTAAAGAAATTCTACAGTAAAAAGTACCAGTATGCAAAAGTGCAGATTTAGTCCTTCATGTTGTGTGTGTTTGTCCTGCAGGACATGGACGTCACGGGTCTGTCCTACACCATGACGGGGCTCAAGAAGTTCACAGAGTACAGTTTCAGGGTGGTGGCGTACAACAAACACGGGCCTGGCATCTCCACCGACGACGTCACGGTCCGAACGCTGTCTGACGGTGAGATTCGTGAAGCCTGATGTTTAACCTCTCGACGACTTTGATTTTTCTCTCTGCCTTGACTTGGACTTCAAATAGCAGTTAAAGTGCCTTTACTACTGGTGGAGATTTGACATTCACGCTGATTTGATCTCCGTATTCATGAGCATGTTTTTGTGTCAGCGTTGTCTCGAGACTCGTCGCCGTGTGAGTGACACGCTAACATGATTCTATAACGTGAAACAAGTCAATCAGCATTCAGGAAGGCGCATGTTTCCATTGGTTCAGTGAAGCTATTTGGATTTACGGCGTACTTGACGGAAAACAACTGCCTCTGTTTTCCCAGCTATAGGAAGACTGTGCAAAATATCCATTTTCCAGATTTATTTGATTATTTGAGTAAAGCTCAATTGCAATGTGCAATCTACATAGAGTTTGTTTATATTCATTTATTAAAAAATATGGTAACACTTTACTATAAGGTTCATTAGTTAACATTAGTTAATGTATTAACTAACATACATCTTTGTTAGTGTTCATCTTTGTTAATGTTAGTTAATAAAAATACAGCTGTTCATTGTTTATTCATGTTAGGTCATGGTGCATTAACTCATGTTAACAAGATTTAAATAAAATATTAGTAAATGTTGAAATTAACATTAACAAAGATCAATAAATGCTGTATATGTGCAGTTCATATTAACCAATGTAGTTAACTAATGTTAACTATCGGACCTTATTGTAAAGTGTTACCAAAAATATGTTTGTTTGTTTTTTAATCTGATTCAGATTAATTTGATAAATTACTCCTCATAATAGAATAAAATTGATCTAAAAAAATGTATTTAATTTAAATTTAAATATATTAACCCTTGTGCATCAATGAAAAAAGTTATTAAGGTATATAGAGGACAAAAATGCCCATAAGGATGCACAAGAGTTAATTAAACAAATATTAAACATTTATATAAAATGTATATATGAAGAGTTCAGATGCAAAAGCCTCTAAATGCCATTTGAAATTTTCTTCTTTAATGATGATTTTTATCAAACTTGTATATTTAAGTTCAGTAATTTCACTTAAATGGCAATGATAATTACCTATTAATTGTTATTTAAGTGAAATTACTGAACTTAAATATACAAGTTTGATAAAAATCATCATTAAAGAAGAAAATTTCAAATGGCATTTAGAGGCTTTTGCATCTGAACTCTTCATTTGATATAAAGAAAAATATTTAAATAATCTTTAATATTTTCTAATTATTTTTAAAATGATTATTTATGTTATAATCATATATATATATATATATATATAAACTGAAATATTGAAAGTATTAAATACATTTTAAGTAATAGGCGTTTTATATTCTCTTGCCCATTTTTCCAATTTGCCACTAATTGTCCAAAATTTTCAAAATCACTTTGATGAAGAACTAACTTCATGCCTATTTAAAAATGCAGTAAGAACGTTAACGCACAATGAGGTATTTTAGAGGACAGCATCTCCGCTTCAGGAGCACGACTATTGCCAGATTTTGTCTCTCTCTCCGGGAAGACAGCGGGCGTGTGACAGGTGGTGTTGTAATCGTACTCGCTCACTCCACGACGGAGCGATTTGGGACGTGACAGGAAGTGTAACGCAAGTGTAAATAATATAACAAAGTGTTTTATTAAAGTGAGCCGTTAACGCTGGCAAGCACACAAACACACACAAACAACGGCTGTTACTGTCTCAGTGAAATCCGATAGAACAAGAGATGTGGAATAAAGTGGCAAAAACACACCCACGACTGCATCCTAAAATACACAGCTGTCGCAGAGTCTTTGAATGTGTGGATAAACCAATTATTTCATCACAACTTTGCAGCTCGGGTTGTTGTCGCTCAATAATAAACCTGATTTGTGTTTCAGTGCCGAGCGCCCCTCCGCAGAACCTTACTCTGGAGGTCCTGAACTCAACGGTAAGATTGACTAGCGTCCTGGTGCCCGTAATGATTTAAAGAACTGCGTTGACCCTTCATCAGCTTTATCATTGACTCATCGGGGCAGAAAAATTACCATGTTCCCACACTAGAGCCGCACAATTAATCATTAAAGGATGGCCATCTCGAGTCAAACACCCACGCCATCTTATTCCTAAATGATAGCTCTGTCTATTAAACCTTTGACATCACAGCGAACTACACGTCTACACAGTGTGTCGTGTGTAGACATGAAAACAGGCTTTTCAACCACACTGCATAATTATCTCTGTTAGTTATTCAAAGTGTCACAGAAGTGCTGGATTACAAGGGATTTAAACACTGATGTCTGAGGTAAATCACCTTTTAAAGTAACTTAGCATTGATCAATGACGTTATTACACCAGTAGGTGGCGACATGTGACACGCTGATTTATCCAGTAATAAAACAGGTGACGTTTTTGTGCGAGTCATTAAAGGAACACGCCGACTTTTTGGGACTTATTCGCCGTATCAGCCAGAGTTAGATAAGTCCATACATACCTTTTTCATCTGACGCACACACCGCTAGCCTAGCTTAGCTTAGCACAGAGACTGGATGTAAATGGATACAGCTAGCATAATAATCTGACTCGGGGGAATACGGTGAATAAGTCCCAAAAAGTCGGCGTGTTCCTTTAAATCTTTCATTAATTTTTTTTTCCATGTTTTTTTAATGCAATAATTTTGTCAAAACCTTGAGTAACTTGCATGTTATTTTGTTTAGTTGAATCGTGATCTCCATTTTAAAAAAAAAGTTGTAATTATTTTTATGGCTGTGCAAAAATGAATTGCGATTAATCGCATCCAAAATAAAAGTCTGTGTTTGCATAATATATTTGGGTGTGCGGTATATAATTATTTTGTGTATATATAAATACCTATGCATGCATGTATATATTTAAGAATTATTTGCGCTTAAATTCTGTATATGTATATAAATACATAATCTATATTATATAAATATAAATATTTTATATATGAATAACACATTTTCTTAAATATATACTTGCATGTATGTGTATTTATATATACAAAATACATATGCATGCATGTATATGTTTAAGAATTATTTGCGCTTAAATTCTGTGTATATATATATAAATACATAATGTATATTATATAAATATAAATATTTTATATATGAATAACACATTTTCTTATATATATACTTGCATGTGTGTGTATTTATATATACAAAATAATTATATACAGCACACACAAATATATTATGTAAACACAGACTTTTATTTTGGATGCGATTAATCGCAATTAATTTTTGCACAGCCCTAATTATTTTATTTTATATATATAGAACAAAGCATTTAATGGGCTTAGAAATAGGCCGATATTTCCTAATGCAAAATTATTGTGAATGTGAGTGAAATTGTCCTTTTTTCATAAATAATTCGACAGAATGCAAGTCAAAAAATCTTAATGACCTTAAAAATAGACCCGTTTTTCCTTATGCAATATATATATATATATATATATATATATATATCATCTTGATTCTTTTAATTTTGGGGTGAAATGTGACCCGGACATGTTCTTGTGAGGTTCATCCAATTATGACATTTTGGCAGACTCCGTAGTTACATTTCTGTAAGTTACTTTAAGCTCATAATCTCATTATTCATCAGTCGACTCGAAACCCAAAGTAGAAGTTAATGTTTCATTATCAGAACCGTCCCAATGCGGGAAGCTTGACATGTTTCCCACCGTCAGGACTGGGTCATCTCCTGTTTCATAAAGCATTCTTGGGTTTTTTCTTCATTCATTATTGCGTAGCCTGAAGGCTTTGCTTCTCTCAGCTGTCTTTCTGAAATGAACTCATGACACATGACAGCATTAGCTCTGACAGCTCTCTGGCTCACACAGTCTTTTCAGGTGCACCTCTAGACGTTTATATAACACGCTCCCAGAAGCCTACCTGCTCAATTAAAATGCACTGACTCTACTCGTGTTGGAAGCTCACCATGTGCCGTGTTTTGTGCCCCAGAGCATCATGGTCCGCTGGCTGGCGCCCCCTCCTGGTACCCTGAACGGAGAGCTGACGGGATATAAACTACGCTATCGGAAAGGACTGAGGAGAGCCGACGCTATCGAGATCTCGACCTCGCAGCTCCTTCAGCTCATTGATGGTATTATTACCAACCGGATCTCCTTTTATTTTCTATTACAGTACTGGTGGCAACACTTTACAATGAGGCTCATTAGTTAACTACATTAGTTTTTGTTAATGTACATTAGTTTTAGTACATTGTACATTTTTTAGTACATTTGTACATTAGTTTTTGTTTCATTAATCTTTGTTAATGTTCATTTTCAACTTTTACTAATACTTTATTAATTTTTTTTTATTTTTTTTTTTTTTATTGAGAAATAAATCCAAATACAAAATACGATATATAACAGGAATGCTTCACATGACAGATATCACATATATTGAAACAAGTTCAAACAAATAAACAGGGATAACAAAAATAAAAACTAAGTAAATATACATAAAAAAAGCTCAATATTTCTTTCTTTTCCTATAGACACTTTTAATGTTCATATAATTTGGTAAACTAAGTGGGGGCATTAATTACAATACGAAGAAGTGTTACCGCAATATTTTTAATGTTTTGAGTTAGCATTTTTTATATATATATATAGTTTGAGTTTTCAGTTTAGTTTTAGCCATTTTGTCATGTGTAGTAGTTTATACACACTGCCGTTTTTAAATGTTTTTAAAAGAAGTCTCGTATGTTCGCCAAGGCAGCGTTTATTTGATTATTATTGAATGAAAACTTAAATTAACTGTTTTCTATATCTGAATATATTGTTAAAGTTTAATTTATTCCTGTGATCAAAGCTGAATTTATCATCATTACTCTAATATGATGAACTGATGCTCAAGAAACATTTCTTTTTTGTGTGTGTGATCAACTCTTTATTGTCTTTAGAAACAAAGATAAAACAAACATCTACAAAATAAATAAAAGACAGGGAAGGTGGAACAACAAACACATCAATAAATGTACAGTATGACAGAGAACATAACATAAGAAAAAAAAATTATATATATATATATATATATAATTATTATTATCAATGTTGAAAACAGTTGTGGACATTTTTTTTCAGGATTGTTTTATTTAATTTATTAATTTATTTGCAATACATTATAAATGTCTTTACAGTATCAATTTAATGCATCCTTGCTGAATACAAGTTTTAATGATTTCTTTTATTTCTATACTGGCTGCCAAATTATGAGATGATATTTTATATTTATATATATATATATATATATATAGCATCTTTTCCCCATGGTATCAGTGTCAAAATTGTAGCTAGTAACTTTGGAAAACCACAAGCTTTTAGTTGATTGGGCTTTTATGTTTTGTTTTTAGCACTGATAGTTTTATCTGTGTTTTATTGTTCTTTTATTTAAATTGTTGCACTTTTTAAAGCATTTTCTGATTTATATCTGTGATCGGTCCTAAAAATAATATATATATATTAAAAAATGTGTGTGTATATATATATATATATATATATATATATATATATATTAAAAAGGTAAAAAAAATATATAAATTAAAAAATATTTTAAAAAATATATATTAAAAAGGGTAATATGTATATATATATATATATATATATATATAGCGTATTTAATTCACCAAATCCTAAGCCTTTTTTTTCTGCGGTGTTTAAGGTCTGGAGAAAGGAAAGGTTTACACGGTGAGAGTGTCGGCCACCACTGTGAACGGAAGCGGACCAACGACGGAGTGGATCGCAGCGGAAACCTTCGAGAACGACCTCGACGGTAAGGAATCACGCAAACACACACATCTTTCCCTTTCTTCCCTGCTGCTTCCCATTGGTGGAGGCATCCCTGCGGCCCAGTGGTGTGTTTGTCCGGGAGAGAGACTCTTAGACTGATGATTCACAGATAAGATCACCGTCTGACGCCGTTACACCACCATGACTCGTTGAGAATCACCGTAAGAGCTTGTACAAAAGAGAAAACAAAACCCCAAAATGAATGAACGCATCTAAACAGAGTACAAATAAGCCAACTTAATGACTTAAACATACCTAAATATCAAACAAATAATCTTTATACAAAGGAAACAAATCAAAACAACAATATAAACACTACCGGTCAAAAGTTTTAGATCGGTAAGATTTTGTATGTTTTTAAAAGAAGTATCTTCTGCTCACCAAGGCTGCAATTATTTGATAAAAAATACAACAACAAAAAAAACAGTAATATTGTGAAATATTATTACAATTTAAAACAGCGGTTTTCTATGTGAATATGAAGAGTTCAGATGCAAAAGCCACTAAATGTCATTTGAAATTTTCATCTTTAATGATGATTTTTATCAAACTTGTATATTTAAGTTCAGTAATTTCACTTAAATAACAATTAATAGGTAATTATCATTGCCATTTAAGTGAAATTACTTAAATATACAAGTTTGATACAAATCATCATTAAAGAAGAAAATTTCAAATGGCATTTAGAGGCTTTTGCATCTGAACTCTTCAAATATAGTGAAGTGTAATTTATTCCTGTGATGACATCTGAATTTTCAACATAATTACTCCAGTTTTCAGTGTCACATGATCCTTCAGAAATCACTCTAATATGCTGATTTTATGCTCAAAAAACATCAATGATTATTTTCAATGTTGAAAACAGTCGTGTACCATTTTTTTCGTGTACAGCATTTATTTAAAATATAATCTTTTCTAACATTATAAATGTCTTTACTGTAACTTTTGATCAGTTTAACTCATCCTTGATGAATAAAAGTATTTTCTAATTTCTTTCCCCCAAAAATAAAAAATAAATTCTTATTGAATGGCAGTGATTAATGTTACAAAAGCTTTCCATTTCAGATCAATTCTGTTCTTTTGAACTTTCTATTCATCAAAGAATCCTGAAATAAAAATGTAAAAAACTGTTTTCAACATGGATAATAATCATAAATGTTTCTTGAGCATCATATTATAATCATTTCTGCTGGATCATGTGACCCTGAAGACTGGAGTAATAATGCTGTAAATACAGATTTGATCACAGGAATAAATTACACTTCACTATATATTCACATAGACCGCTGTTTTAAATTGTAATAATTTTTCACAATATTACTGGGTGTTTTTTTTTGTATTTTTTTATCAAATAATTGCTGCAAAGAAAAAAAACTTTTGACCGGTAGTGTATGTCTGGGTCTCGTATGTTTGGAGCACATGCGCAATATGAATATATTTCAATGTATATTCTTTGACATTCACCAATGCCATTACACAAATAAAAATAAACACTATGCAAAAATAAATAAACTATGAACATTTGAAAATAATAAAGCAGACAATATAAAACAAAGTCATTAACACGTGATGCGAGGAACTTGATCAAACGCCGGGGTTCATCAATGCTGAAAGAATTCACTCGTCTGTTAAACTCTGACACGGGAATCCTGGGAAAATGGCATTTGTTTAATGCACTTCTGTTGTTGAATGAAAAGCCTTTGAGTTATTTGGATTAATATGTCCGTTTATCTTTCCGAAGGCCATAAGAATCGCAGCACAAAAGGAAACTTTACACCGCTCAGTTGGTTACAGTAAATTCAATTGATTTCCGGCTTGGGAGAACGCTGATGTGATTACTCGTGACATTGGGCTCGGATAACCGTGTCTGAGCTGTTGGGTTAGCGCCGTAGCTGTTGTGTTAGATCTGTGTTTCAGTGCTGAGCGCAGGAGATACAACACTTTCATTTACAGGCTGTTTCCACTAGTGCCGATGGACATTAGGAGAACTTGCAAGAACATTCATTTAACTCGCATTAAAGGAGTAGTTCACTTTAAAAAAAAAAAAAAACTTTTGCTTATAATTTACTCACCCCCATGTCATCCAAGATGTCCATGTCTTTCTTTCTTCAGTCGAAAAGAAATCAAGGGTTTTGATGAAAACATTCCAGGATTTTCTCCATATAATGGACTTCAATGGGGTCCAAACGGTTCAAGATCCAAATGAGAGTTTCAGTTCAAACTGTTCAAAGGGCTTTAAACGATTCTAGACGATGAATAAGGGTCTTATCAAGAGAAATGATCGGCATTTAAAAAATAAATAACAAAGTTTAAGTTTTCTAAGCTCAAATGCTCGCCTTGCTCTGTTCTGTGGTGCGCGCTCGTGACTCTCCTGTTCGAACTCGTTCATCAAAATGAACAAATCTTTATTCGAGTCATTTTGTTCATTCAACGAACGAAATGAACGAATTGACTCGAAAAAAGATTTGTTCATCGTCTAGTGTCGTTTAAAGCCCTTTGAACCGTTTGGTCCCCATTGAAGTCCATTATATGGAGAAAAATCCTGGAATGTTTTCATTAAAAACCTTCATTTCTTTTCGACTGAAGAAAGAAAGACATGGACATCTTGAATGACATGGGGGCGAGTAAATTATCAGCAAATTTTTTTTTTAAGTCAACTACTCCTTTAAGTCTATTTTTAGGACCATTTTAGGGCTTTTTTATGATGTTTTTATAAGAATTAAGCTCATATTCCCCCAAAATTCTTCCTACTGTAATAGGAAAAAGTACTATTATTATTATTTCATTCGCAATTGGACGTATGGAGGGACCCAAGCACTATGGGAGTGTGTGTAACCCTCTTTGGGCTCACTTCCATCTGCTAAAATGGGAAAAGCTCTGTGACAGCCAGACCAAAGCATCTCTCTCAACCGCTAATGCCTCCGCTTCATCCACTCCGACTTGAATTAGCCCCACAAATAGGCCGGCGTTTGAAATAATGAGTCAATTTAATGACTCTAAATCCAAAAGGATTTGTCGGAAATTAGCAGCGTTGCCTTATAAATCAGAACGGGCATTAGCGCGGGCCCCTAAGATAATGCTGTCCGTGGATCCGTTTGTGCACAAGTTCTGCTTTTAAACTCAAATACGAATGAATTAAAGTAGTGTGCTTGAAAGCTGCGGTTTAGCTAAGCGCTACACTCGACCTGATCTTTTACAGTTTTCAACAGTAATTGTCATTGTTGAACCCTTGCTCTTATTATAATAATACCTTTTTTATTTTATTTTTTATTTATTATTTATTTTTATTATTTTTATTATTTTTTATTTATTATTTATTTTTATAATTTTTTATTATTATTTATTTTATTTTTTATTATGTTTTTGATTTCTCAGTTATCATTATTTTAGCAAATCATTTATTTGATATGTTTTGAGACATTCAGAGAGTTAGTAAAAGTAAAAAAAATAATTAAGTAAATTATCTATTTTTTATGAAGTATTTATTGTGTGTTTATACATAACGTCACTGTATTAATTTATAATGTGTCATTAATGCGTGATATTTGTGTCAATAATAATTTGTGTCAAGCACAGGTCCCCCAAAGTGCTCGGGCCGGCTCTGTTGTCCACTCAGATTCAAGTAACAGAACTAATGCTTATAAATTAGGGCTGTGCAAGAATTAATTGCGATTAATTAATTAATTCCAAAATAAAAGTCTGTGTTTACATAATATATTTGTGTGTGCTGTATATAATTATTTTGTATATATAAATACCTATGCATGCATGTATATATTTAAGAATTACTTGCGCTTAAATTCTGTATATCTATATAAATACATAATCTAAATTATATAAATATAAATATTTTATATATGAATAACACATTTTCTTAAATATATACATGCATGTGTGTGTGTGAGTATTTATATATGCAAAATAATTATATACAGCACACATATAATATGTGATTAATCGCAATTAATTTTTGCACAGCCCTATTATAAATATAATAATAGCCCAAAATAATAATCACAAATCATGATGTTGAGTCACTCAAAATCAGGGGATTTCCTTTATCATGAAAGCCCTTTATATATTGTCAAAGATGAGCAGGTTGTATCTTGATTTGTTGATTGTGTGTATTACAGAGTCTCAGGTACCAGGAGTCCCCAGTTCTCTTCATGTTCGTCCTCTCGTGAACCGAATCGTGGTGACTTGGACTCCTCCAGAAAACCAGGATATTTTAGTCCGAGGTTATAAGATCGGATACGGGATCGGAAGCCCTCATGCCCACACGGTTAATCTGGATTACAAGCAGCGTTTCTACAGCATCGATAACCTCGGTGGGCGTCTTTAATGCTACAGATATTCTGACATCAGCTGTGTTTTCAGGCGCTTTATGAATGTTTTCCTCTGCAGATCCCAGTTCCCATTACGTCATCACTCTCAAGGCGTTCAACAACATGGGCGAAGGCGTACCCATCTACAACAGCGCCACAACTAGACCTCAGTCCGGTAAGACATTTCCCGTCTCTATTCAGGCAAGATGACAACAACAACATGCGCAATGATATTTATTCAGACATAACATGCTGTTTTTACTAGTGTGATCAGGACACTATAGTTCATTTTAGTGTTGTCACGATACTAGAATTTCTAACTTCGATACGATACCTTGAAAAATATCGATTTTCGATACCACGGAGAAAAATCTGCCGCAATATTAAGGGGGAAGTTTTTTTTTTATTTAGCTAAATATAACAAGTCTAGAACATGACAATGAGGTATTTTTTACATGAACAAAAATGTCCTGAGTTCTATTTGTTAATATTTTTTAATTGGACCAGAGCTAACATTATCCGTTGTATTTTTATTACCTACTGTTATCAAAAAATTAAAATATACTGTAACATAAAAGCACTCACATTGGAGGATAGAGTGTCAGTAATGTATAATAATACGATTAAACATTAAATTTTCAGTTAAAGGCATTTCATTACTGAATTCAGAGATGCCATTGTCTGTTTAGTTTAATTAGTATCTGTGTAATCAAATTGATGATAATCACTAATGAAGGAAAATTGATGAATTAAATAATAAAGTTAAATAGGCACAAGCTAATTTACATTTGACCACAGTTACAATATTTACTTGTCTAAGATTAGTCAGTCAGATTATGTTAACTTTAAGAAAACGGTGAAAAGACGAGACAACACAACAACAATACTAGGCCATCTTGGTTAATGTTTCAGAAAAGTTCAAATTAGTGTTTCCTTTAGGATTTTAATTAGCAGTGGGGACACGTCTGTCCGAACAACAAACACCCCTGATGCTGGTACCCCTGGAGCCTTTCCTTAAGTCAGTTTTCATTCTCCGACATTAACTTTTGCTATTTAACCAGAGCGAATGAGACGAGTGCGTCACGTGTGGTCTTTGTCAACGCGCCTTTGGAAAGAAGTGAAAGTGACCGTACTTTGGGAAATTAGTATTGGTATCGTTCAGATATTTCAGTATCGATATTTATCGAAATATCGATATTTTTGACAACACTAGTTAATTAATGTAAGTGAGGACAGCAAAATAAAGTAAACTGTGACAAAAATTCTTCATACAGCGACTACCAGTAACGTTTCCTCCACTTTGAGCTGATCAAGTGTGTTTTCTGTAATTGCTAATGCTCTTTTTACACACACACTGAACAACATGAGGCATTGCTTGGTCACTGGTTGAGCCGAACTGGATTGTGGAGTTAAATTTAACAGATATTCAACATAATTCATGTGTGAGAGTCCAACAGAAGGACGGGCTAAACCAGTCAAATATGTCGTATTTTATTAGCTTTTTCTAAACTATAGCGAATAAACTGAGATGATGTGGAATAAGGCAGTCTAAGATTGTTTTGTAGTGGAGAGAGACAAACTACGATGTGGAGTGTGTGTTTTAAATGTAAGATGACATGAGCCACACATGCATCAGTTCTGGGATACGTGGCGTGTCAGGTTAGCGTATTGAAGCCTACAGGTGTGACGCGTCCCGTCAGATGTGTGTGTCAGACAGCGAACGCCTCTGTTAAAGGTTTCCGGACCCCCCGCCGTCCCGTCAGGCTGAGTCTGGAAACTTATCTGACAGATCCAGCTTCCAGAGCTAGTGTGCGAAGTGACCCAGAAACGAGTTGTTCGCCGAGAATGAGCGTTAGCATGTTTGCGACAATCATTTGCTGCCGTTTTCTGCTGAGAATGCATTTTTTTTGTTGTTGTTGACAATTAAATAAGTGGATATTTACACAGAAGAAATCAATAGTCATTCCAGGTGTGTCTTAATTAAGCTCCATCGATCACCGGCGTGCTGAATCATTCGGGTGTGTGCCTCTTAAAGGAGTAGTTCACTTTTCAAAAAACTTTTGCTGATAATTTACTCGCCCCCGTGTCATCCAAGATGTCCATGTCTTTCTTTCTTCAGTCGAAAAGAAATTAAGGTTTTTGATGAAAACATTCCAGGATTTTCTCCATATAATGGACTTCAATGGGGTCCAAACGGTTCAAGGTCCAAAAGAAACTTTCAGTACAAACTGCAAACTTGTTCAAAGGGCTTTAAACGATTCCAGACGATAAATAAGGGTCTTATCAAGCGAAACGATTGGTCTTTTTTTTTTTTTTTTTTTTAAATAACAAAGTTTAAGTTTTGTAAGATCAAACGCTGCTCTGTTGCTCTGTTCTGTGGTGCACCTTTATGACTCTCCTATTTGAACTCGTTCAACAAAATGAACAAATCTTTTTCCGAATCAATTTGTTCGTTTTTTTCACCTAATGAACCAAATGACTTGGAAAAAGATATGTTCGTTTTGATGAACGAGTTCGAACAGGAGTGCGTTACAGAACAGAGCAAGGCGAGCGTTTAATGTTATAAAACTTAAACTTTGTTATTTATTTATAAAATGAGTGATCGTTTCACTTGATAAGACCCTTATTCATCGTCTGGAATCGTTTAATGCCCTTTGAACAAGTTTGCAGTTTGCACTGAAACTCTCATTTGGACCTTAAACCGTTTGGACCCCATTGAAGTCCATTATATGGAGAAAATCCTGGAATGTTTTCATCAAAAACCTTAATTTCTTTTCGACTGAAGAAAGAAAGACATGGACATCTTGGATGACCCGGGGGTGAGTAAATTATCAGCAAAAGTTTTTTGAAAAGTGAACTAATCCTTTAAATGAGCAAAAAACACCATACACCTTCAAATACGCACTTCTTTAGAAATAAAACTCGAATTTAAATGCAAAGAAATTAATTTGAAGTTTCATAAATATGATTTATTATTGCTTTAGTAATATATGTCTTTATTGGTTTGTTTTAATTTTTTAATCGCAATAATAATGAAGCGAAAATTATTATTATTTTTATTAATATATCAGTAGTGGTACCAGAAGTTCATCCACTAAGAAAAGTAGGGTAGCACTTTATTTTACAGTGTCTGTTTCATGTTACATTTAGTAAATTATGCATAATTACATGCAACTAAAAACCCTAACCCTATAGTAAGTACAGTACTTGTATAATTACAGTGTAAGAAAGACGCTTTAATACTCTATGGTGTAACCAAACGTACTGTAGCTCCACTGCTAAACACAAAAAGGCCAACAAATGACACTTCCATTATAAGTCTGTGCACTGTAATATTGTTTGTTTTACAATCTTTGAATTAATTTCTGTAATAATTGTCACAGACTAGGGATGGGCAGCGATTAATCGCATCCAAAATAAAAGTTTGTGTTTACATAATATATGTGTGTGTAGTGTGTATAATTAATTGTATATATAAATACATACACATGAATGTATATATTTAAGAAATATTTGCATGTATGTACTTTATATATATTTATACATAATTAATATTATATATAAATAAGTATTTGATATATTAATAACACATTTTTCTTAAATATACACACATATATCATGTAAACACATACTTTTATTTTGGATGCGATTAATCGCTGCCCATCCCTATCACAGACACTGTCCTTAAATTGCTTAAATTATATTGAACTTGGATTATTTCTTTAATTTTCACTCAGTATTTTTTTGTATTTCTATAAATGCAGTATAATCCCTGACTCCAGTTATTCTTGTAATAGAAATCGTCTAAGTATTTAATGTTTTTGCACTGTTTTATACTGTTAAATATGTATCTTTTTAATTCTAATAATCTCTCTTTCTCTTTTTCATTCATTTTTCCTCTTACTTGCTCACCATCAATCCATTTATTCCTGTCTAACGCTGATCAATCCTTCCATATTTTTTTTAAACCCGTGTGAATTTTGTTTTGTTCTCCATTTATTATGATTTGCCTTGCCTCATCTGTGTGTGTGTGTGTGACGCTGCTGTCAGACCCCATAGACCCTGATATTGATTTTTATGAACTGTTCAATAACCCATACACCCCAGCCCCCGACCCCACACCCATGCTGCCCCCGGTGGGCGTTCAGGCCACTGTCCTCAGCCACGACACCATCAAAGTCAGCTGGGCCGACAACTCGCTCGCAAAGAACCAGAAGATCACCGATTCCAGATATTACTCCATCCGCTGGAAGACCAACATCCCCGCCAACACCAAATATAAGGTACCGACATCATGTTAGTAACGGCTTCGTTTTCTGATTTTAGAGAAAGTCGGAAGTTGTGATGGTCCTAACGTGACGTATATCTGAGTAAAACGGCTTCTCAAACAAGAACAAATGTGGGCGGGGCTTTATTTTGTCTGTGGTGGAATTGATTGGATGGTTGTGGTTTGCTATTGGTGGATCTCATGTGAGTGAAAAAAAAGGATTAAAGGAGTTCACTTTTAAAAAAAACCTTAGCTGATAATTTACTCACCCCCGTGTCATCTAAGATGTCCATGTCTTTCTTTCTTCAGTCGTAAAGAAATTAAGGTTTTTGATAAACATTCCAGGATTTTCTCCATATAATGGACTTCAATGGGGTCCAAACGGTTTAAGGTCCAAATGAGAGTTTCAGTGCAGCTTTAAACGACACCAGACGATGAATAAGGTTCTTATCTAGGACCCTTCGAGTCATGACTCGAAAAAAGATTCGTTCATTATGATGAACGAGTTTGAACAGGAGAGTCACGAACGCGCATCGTAGAATAGAGTGAGCATTTGTGCTTATAAAACTTAATCTTTTTTTTTATTTTATTAAATGAGTGGTCGTTTCGCTAGATTAGACCCTTATTCATCATCTGGTGTCGTTTAAAGCCCTTTGAAGCTGCACTGAAACTCTCATTTGGACCTTGAACCGTTTGGTCCCCATTGAAGTCCATTATATGGAGAAAATCCTGGAATGTTTTCATCAAAAACCTTCATTTCTTTTCGACTGAATAAAGAAAGACATGGACATCTTGGATGACATGGGGGCGAGTAAATTATCAGCAAAAGTTTTCCTCCTTTAAGGATGGAAAAGAAATTGCTAAAACGTATGACTAAATAGCATCTCAATGATACTAAAATGTGTCAGTTCAGTATAAATGTGTGTTTCTCCTCTGTGCGCTGAGCGCCCTCTAGTGAGCTCTCTCTCTCACACTGCAGCGGACACACCTGTGGCGAGGTGAATACTAGTGTCCTGCTTAGAGTATATAACATTTTTTAATTAGTTATATGCCAAAAAATATGCAGTGATAAACCTAGGTCTAAGTTTGTTGCTTGTTTTGTCAGACGGCAAACACCACGTCTCTGTTCCACACGGTGACGGCTCTGAAACCCAACACGCTGTACGAGTTCTCCGTGATGGTGACCAAGAGCCGGCGGAGCAGCACGTGGAGTATGACGGCCCACGGGACCACCGCCGAGACCCGTAAGAGCGTTTAAACATCGCTTTCTGCGTTTAGATGCTGTTCTGAAGATGAAATACTACAGGAATAAATGACAGTTCATTTTCTCTTTCACACTGATTGATCAGAACTGCAACAAATTGGGCGTTTTGGTTATATATTGTGTTTTGTTTGTACTATATAAACTAAATACAATATATATCTATATTAGTGCTGTCTAATCGACTGAATGTTATTAATCACATCTAAGTTTGTTTATGTATGTGTGTGTGTGTATATACAGTATATTATTTGTATATCTAATATATATTTTAGGGCTGTGCAAAAATTAATTGCGAATTAATCGCATCCAAAATAAAAGTCTGTGTTTACATAATATATTTGTGTGTGCTGTATATAATTATTTTGTATATATAAATACACACACATGCATGTATATATTTAAGAAAATGTGTTATTCATATATAAAATATTTATATAATATAGATTATGTATTTATATATATATATATATATATACAGAATTTAAGCGCAAATAATTCTTAAATATATACATGCATGCATAGGTATTTATATATACAAAATAATTATACACAGCACACACAAATATATTATGTAAATGCAGACTTTTATTTTGGATGCGATTAATCGCAATTAATTTTTGCACAGCCCTAATATATATATATATATATATATATATATATATATATAGACTTTTATGTTAGATGTGATTTAATCAGTTTGACAGCACTAATATATATATATATATATATATATATACTGTATGTATGTGTATATAAGTGTTTACATTATTTATCATGTGTGTGCATTATATATATATATATATATATATATATATATATATATATAATTATTATATATATATTTATATATAGTTATAAATATAACATGCATGCACCAAATTTCTCACATTTATGTGTATGCATGTGTGCTTATTGGAAAAGAGCCTTTTGTTATATAAAACGTACTTCAAATATGATTATCATTTGTATTTTTGTGTGTTGATGTTGACAGCTTATTTTCTGTCTATTAAATTTGTCTGGATGCATGCAAAATGAGTGCATATTTTATTAATGTCTCATTTGCATTTCAACATGATTTGGCGACTATACTATACTTATACTATCATAACTTTTTACAAATAGCCATTTACTCTGTTTACTTGTATTATATCCCTTTATTATGTTTGGTGTGTTTTGTAGTTCCCGCTTCTGCTCCAAAAGATGTGACCGTGATCAGTAAAGAGGGAAATCCACGAATGATCAACATCAACTGGCAGCCTCCAACTGAAGCCAACGGCAAAATCACAGGTGTGTGAAGAACAGGGTTTGACCCATGACATTCCCATGATTTACATTACGGCTGCCAATCACAGGAACTAGATTATTGCATATTATTACATCCACCCAAAGAGAAAAGTGTCCGGTCAGAAGGAGGATTTTCACCTCTCTCGTCTCTCGTCTCTCAGGGTACATCATCTACTACAGCACCGATGTGAACGCTGAGGTTCACGACTGGGTCGTGGAGCCTGTGGTGGGGAACCGACTGACCCATCAGATTCAGGGTCTCACACTGGACACTGCGTACTACTTTAAGATCCAGGCCAGAAACTCCAAAGGCATGGGACCCATGTCGGACGCGGTGCACTTCCGCACCCCGAAAGGTGAAAGCAGCTCTTCGTTTGCTCCCATCTGTTGCTCTCTGCTCACGCTCACTCGTTCATTCTGTTTGTCTTTATTTTCAGCTGAACCATCGGACAAAATGTCAAGTGATCAAGGTAATTAAGCATGTTTCTATTGTGAAGTTCAGTCACACAACAGGAATTTCATTAGTTCACAGTGTACTACCAGTGTACTGTAAAAAAAATTCAATAAATAATACAATAAAAATGTGTTTCATTTATGTCAGATGCATTGTGGGATAGCTGAATGTGGCTGATGTCTTGTTATCCATAGGGCTGCAAGTCAAACCTGGTCACCCGACCCTGCCGGAGCACGGGATCGGATCCAATATGGGTAAACACGAAGACACGCACTTTAAAGACAGACGCCATGATCTCAATGAGACGTGCGGTTTAGTAACTCTCTCTCTCTCTCATATCTCAGATAAGCCAGGCATCACGGGCAGCCGAGAGAATCATATCCTGGTGATCGTGGTCATCGTGTCTGTGGGAGCGTTCACCATCATCGCTGTGGTCGTGGGAGCCGTCCTGTGCACGCGCCGGTCCAACTCCCATCAGAAAAAGTGTGTTCTTCACTCCTCTGACATCTTTTAAAACATCTGTGTGTAAAAACAAGAAGCAATAAATCATTTCCTCTTGGGATGAAGAGTTTTCTTAGGCCTGACTTTTACTTTTCAGTCAGTGCTGCATGATGGGACATTCGTCTCTCAAAACGATTGATTATTGTGTGAACCCTCAAAAAAATGTTATTAAAATACTAAATAATTATTATTAGTTGTTTTATTATATAATAAAATTAAAATCCTAATTATTATTAAAATATGGGACTGTAATTATTTTAAATGTATATAATATATTTAAATGTGCAATTCATAAGTATTTAACACATTTATTATTAATATATAAAAATAATAAAATATTGAATCAATTTGAAAGAAACTAAAAACAATTTATGAGGTAAAATCTAACTTTAATTTATTTCTGAAAATAATATATGTATATTTATAATATATAAATATATTTTAATATATATATATATATAGTAAAAATATATAAATATATTTTCATAATTTATTTATGAAAATAATAAAATATTTAATTATTTTGTAAGAAACCAAAAACAATTTATGAGGTAAAATCTAACTTTAATTTATTTCTGAAAATAATATATGTATATTTATAATATATAAATATATTTTAATATATATATATATATATATATATAGTAAAAATATATAAATATATTTTCATAATTTATTTATGAAAATAATAAAATATTTAATTATTTTGTAAGAAACCAAAAACAATTTATGAGGTAAAATCTAACTTTAATTTATTTCTGAAAATAATATATGTATATTTATAATATATAAATATATTTTAATATATATATATATATAGTAAAAATATATAAATATATTTTCATAATTTATTTATGAAAATAATAAAATATTTAATTATTTTGTAAGAAACCAAAAACAATTTATGAGGTAAAATCTAACTTTAATTTATTTCTGAAAATAATATATGTATATTTATAATATATAAATATATTTTAATATATATATTTTACTATATATATATGTATATATATATATATATATATATATATATAGTAAAAATATATAAATATATTTTCATAATTTATTTATGAAAATAATAAAATATTTAATTATTTTGTAAGAAACCAAAAACAATTTATGAGGTAAAATCTAACTTGAAATACTATTAAAATGTATTTATGCACCATCGAAACTATACAATAAACAAAATAAATATATACTGTTAAATCATTTATTTTTGGTATATATATGTGTGTGTGTGTGTATGTATATATAATAATTACAGTTAAATGCGTTTGGAGAGGTTCATCTGTATTTGTGTTTTCAGGAAACGTGCCGCCTGTAAGTCCAACACCGGCTCACACAAGTACAAGAGCTCATCTAAAGACCTGAAGCCTCCCGATCTCTGGATCCACCACGAGCGCCTGGAGCTCAAACCCATCGACAAATCCCCCGATCCCAACCCGGTCATGACGGAGACGCCCATCCCTCGCGCCGCCCAGGACCCGGTGGAGCCCAGCCATCAGATTCAGGAGCTGGAGGAGAGTGTGTCCACTCGCAGAGGAGTCAGACCCAAAATCATGATGCCCTTCGACTCTCAGCCTCCCCAGCGTAAGTTCACAGAGCGTCACTGTCCCATGACATCATCAACCTGTGTTGTGCTCATCACTGTCATGTCATCTTGTGTCATATTAGCTCGAAGATTCAACCCTAGTGAGCTTCCCTCGTAAACAGCCTGTTTAGGGATGTAGGATATTCTCACTATGATAGTGTTGAGGAAAGATACGGCACATAGTGAATCCAGTGTCTGGCCCCAAGAATCCTGATCAGAGCACTCTTCTGCATATTACCTATCCTGGTCAAAATAACCCCAGAATGCAATACATTTAAAAAAAAAATCAATTTACAATGGCAGATGATTCAAAATAAATTATTATAAATGTCTAATTCATTCAATCTAACAGATCTCTATAGTTTTAGTTAGAGCCATATTAGGCATTTTCTAAAATATCGGTATCGGCAGTTATAATAGCCGATAAATGAATATTTAAAAAATAAAATAAAAACGGATGTTTTTTCAACCATGTCATGAGTGTTGTCAAAAAGTGCAGGTAAAGGGATAAGCAAGCTGACATTGTAATTATAAGGTAGCTTATAACTATAAGGCAATGTAGGGACTAATTATTATTTTATTTATCAGAACTTTAACATATTTTGATGTTCCTCTGTTTAGTTGTGACAATAGAAACAAGTTTCTTTTTAAAATGCATTATCATATTATTTTAGTTAAAACTCATAAATAACTACAAATAACTAATGTTAGGGAAATCTGTTAATGATTTGTTGAGCGTTTCTGAAATAATAATAATATCGGCCGATATATCGGAATAACGGATTTTAAAACCAGCAAATATTTGTATCTGTATCGGCCTTCAAAATCCTTTATCGCTCGGGCTCTAGTTTTAGTAAATAGTGTGCTTTCTATTTATTATGTTTATTAGACTATCAGAGCAACATGATAACACCTAACTATTGAAAAAATATTAAAAAAAAATGTTTTATTAAACTTTTGTTTTCATGAGATTTATTTTTGTATGAGAATTAATTTATTTATTTATTTTAATTCTTTTTCTATTGATAAATATCAGAATTAAAATAAAAAATTATTCATTTTCAAATTATTTGGGCACAAATAAAAACTGATTGAAACAAAGCCTAACATAAATACAAAGTTAAATAGTTTATTTTTCTATTTAATATATTTTTACTTTTTTCTTTAATCTTATTTTTGATTTTCAAAACTATAATTTCAGTGTAGAAAATGTAAACAAATTTATTTAAACTATTTATTTACACGACCAGCAAAATAGTGCGCTTTATATCAGTCATTTGTGAGGTTGCGTCTCATTTAGGATGCTGCATTATTAGGGATGCTGTGTAGGCAGTACTATGAAAATCAGCTCACTAAGTAGATGTGTTGTGTTGATCTCACTGTGTGTGTGTGTGTCCTCTCTCAGCTGTGATTAGTGCTCACCCCATTCATTCCCTTGATCATCTTCATCATCATCATCATCACTATCACCTCCCGCCGCGCGGTTACCTTCATCACCAGATCAGCCTGAGAGCGCCCGCCTCCCCAAACACACACTTACACAGGTCCCCGTCTGCAGGTGAGACTCACCCCAAACACACACTTACACAGGTCTCACCCCAAACACACACTTACACAGGTCCCCGTCTGCAGGTGAGACTCACCCCAAACACACACTTACACAGGTCTCACCCCAAACACACACTTACACAGGTCTTTGGACATGGTAATGATTTATTTTGGTGCTTTTGTTTTTAGTGTGAGCAATGTGTGTGTTTATGTATGTATGTATGTATGTATGTGTGTGTGTGTGTATATATAATATTATTTATTTTTATTTATATATATATATATATATATATATATATTATACATATAATATATATGAATATATTTAAAAACTTTTTATATACAGTATATGTGTGTGTATGTGTGTATACAAAACGTTTCCTTGAACTATAATAATTTGTTATATATATTTTAATATTTAAAGAAAATACTAATAAAATTATGTATAGTGTATATTATTTTTTTCCATATTTGTAAAATATGAAATAATTGTATTAATTGATTTGAATTGATTTATTTCTTCATCACTCTCTATGTGTGTGTGTGTAGAGTCTGTGAGGAACCAGCCGGCCGCACCTGAACCTCCGGTTGCCCCCAGTCAGCCCATCACCTCAGCTGAGCTCCAGAAGACCGAGGCATTGATCAAAGAGGAAGATCCGCCCAGTATAAACCCCCCAGCGGCCCACATCCGGCCCACACACCCGCTCAAGAGCTTCGCTGTGCCAGCGCTCACAGTTTCTGCCCATAACCCGCCCACCTATGAGACGGCCTTACCCAGCACCCCCCTGCTGGCTCAGCCAGGTCCGGCCCCTGCTTCATCCATTTTCACATGTTCAACACCTAAAAGGGGCTTTCACACTGGAGGAACCTTTTCATAGTTACTGAACTATTAGTGGCACTTCCTGGATTTTAGTGTGTTAGGAACTGGGAACTAATTTAGTCGGTCTAAACCAGCACTATAGTAACTATTAGTGTTCACTGATTGGTCAAACGCACGTGAAACATCAGCACCCGCCATTTAAAAACAAAACATAATAAAAACAGATTATAGCATATATATTTACACGCACATGGAAAACTGTGATAGATGGACCTCTAAACCTTTACGCTCAGGAGAAAATCCAACGCAACTTTGAGGGAACCAAGAGAAACATGATTATGTCTTTCTGCTCAACAACCACACGACATACGCTAATAAATGTTCATCACTGTCTACTTTCTGTGTGTAACACTTCTATCTTACGTATATAGACAGATCGTAAACTATTGAACACGGAGAATGCGAGCACTTGTGGGCTTTTCATTGGCATTAAAATAAAGGTCAAAATACCTGCGTCACGCATCATAAACATCAACAGAGAGAAGCAGCTCCGACTATAATGTTCGTCCACAAGATGCTAGATAGTGTACCTTTAACCCTCAGGTGCTCTTCGTTTCGGAGTCACACTTGTTATCCGACCGGACACCTAAAAATTAAATTTCCTCCATCCCAGTAAAACCAATGCAATTTATTTTTGTTCTATAATATTTATTCTTTGTAATTTAGTATTTTGAGACAATTTGATTGAATTTATTAATATTTATGTAATAGTTATGGTCTATTTTGGCATGGAAAAATATAGATATTTTTCTATATATATATTTATTTATTTTTTCAAAAATTATTAATGCAGTGTTTTAGTGTAATATAGAGTCTAGGCCTTCAGAAAAAAACATATTTTTTGAAGAAAATTAGCACCATCTGGTTACAGTATAGAGAAAAAGCGTAGAATCATGGTGTAACCACTAGATGGCATGTACAGCTCTCTATGGAGAGGCATGTGAATTCCCCAGATGCTTATGAACTTTATGAATTTTTTTTGTTTTTTGGTGGATTTGAATATATAGTTGAAACAATCTCAAAAACGATTTTTTTATTAAAAAAATGTTAAAAATAAATAAATAAACATTTGTAATTTTTTGTCAATTTCCCATTCATTCCCTATGGGGGTCATTTTTGACCAAAGACCACAAGTGTGACTATTTTTTTAGACCACTTAGCATGCTCAGATCATGACCTCAATTTTTTTTTGTATTCACATACATAATGCCATAAAAGTCACCAAGTTTCGTAACATTCCGATGAAGCTGTGATTTTTAGAAATTCAAAACAGAAAATTTTTCGGTCAGAAATGACCGAAGAGCACCTGAGGGTTAAGAGAAACTCCAGTGGATGGTTGCTTTACGTGTGGGAGACTTCATATCATGTCCTGTTATCTGTGTTTCAGCACCCGGCGTGAAAACTGCGTCCATCGGGACACTAAATCGAGCTCGAGCTCCAATGCCAGTAACAGTCCCGAATGCTCCTGACCAATCAGAAACCAGCAAGATGCTGGACATGGTGAGTGCTGGAGACACTGTCTCAAACATGTCTTGTTCACATTTCACCCCAAAATCAAAAGACGTAAATAAGATGTGTTTTGCATATAGAAAATAAAAAAAACTTTTTTTTTTACATTGTGAAATCATTTTCATGACAAATAAACAGTTTATATTTAAATATTAGTCCCTAATATTTATTTTTATTTTCAGCAGTAAAAAAATCTAATTTCTAAATGAATTCTCAAATCTAAATGGGCCCAATACAGAGCCCTGTGGCACACCGCTGCTTATTGAACTTATTTATTATTGAATTTTTGTTGTCCATTGAAGTGCTTAAAACATTCATAAAAATTGGAATAAAATATCTGCACATTCTTTATACAAAATTGAACTTTCTATTTTAAATTTTAGAGTGAAACGCCATATTATTAAGAAAGTTGAATCTGTGTTTAATTTGATTTATTTCTCTCTTTTTTTTACCCATTTATCTTTTTACTCACCGGCCGAATTAATTTGAATCGTTCCCTCTTTCTGCCTAATTTTAAAAATGCACTCCTTTTTAATTTGCGTTCCGCTTCTGAAATGCATGCATTTTGTTTGTTTTTGTCGTAGGTCGCGCTGTAGCGTCTTGCTTTATTCTCTCGCTCCAAACCCGTTTCCCTCCCTCGCTCTTCCTCTTTCTGTGTGTTTTTCTGTTCTTTCTCCCTCCGTTGTCTCGCATCCCTCAGTCCTAACTCTAACATGGCTGGTCTGGCATGGCTCTCTCTCTCTCAGACGTATGAGACCGACGAGCTCTCGGAAGAAATGGCCCACCTGGAGGGTTTGATGAAGGATCTGAACGCCATCACTACAGGCTGAAGAGCTTCAACACACACGGCCGAACCTCGTCCTCAGGAACAACCAGGACATCTCCGCTTCATCATCATCGTCTCCATCCTGATCCTGCATGGATATCGCCAGAGAAATCTAGAAAATGATGAGCCGTTCTGCACAGAAAACATACTTTTAATGTTTTATTGTTTAAGTGGATTTTATTTACGTATTCCATATTTTTAGCCTGTTTATGTTTGTTTTCATTGTGTATACAGCCATTTTAGGATTTTTTTAAGGTCAAACCATTCATGAAATGCGAGCAGAATGATCCGTAAACTATTCCGATCACTTTCAAATCAATGCAACAATTTACACAATGATTTAAACATGCTCGTTTGTAATCAGAAAACCATTCTTGCATCAAGTGTCTATAACACCATGTTAGTTGTTGCAGTTGAATTGAATTCAGCAGTTATCCAGATGGTTATTTTTGTTAGCTCATGTTTTAAATGCTTCATTTCTGGAAGGTCTCAGTGACTCATCAAAGTCTGCATTTTCCACTTCTCTCTTTATGCTCTGAATGACCATCTCAGCTCAGTCTGAATCCAGTGATGTTTTGGTGCTTCGGAAACTCGTGAGACGCTCCTCTTCCTCAGGACCTCGGGGAGATTCATCATGAAGGAGTTTAATGCCAAGTGACTCTCAGATTTTTGTACTTTGAGAGGTATATATATATATATATAGATATACAATGAACTGCAAATGTTTGCTTACATGAATACTTTGTACACTCTCAAAAAGGACAATTTTTATATATATTCATGTTTTGGTTGGTTTTTATATGAAAAAAAGACACATTGCTTTGTAAACATTTTCCATGTAAGTTATGCGTTGTGTTTTCACCGTGCCGTTTAGCCGACCCCTTCTCCCAAAGAATGAGCGGAAGAAAACATCAGCGACGAACTCTGCCTTGCTCGTGTACATTTTCTCGCGTCATGAATGTCAATTGTCAATGTAACAAGGTCTGCTTATGAATTAAGTTGTTGTTTGTGTTTACAATAACGGGGGAAGATTTAAAAAAAAGAAGAAGACACCGAACCATGTGGTGTGGCCGGTGTAGGCTACTACCGTCAACTGTCATTTGCACTTTTTATATTTTGGATTTGAAATGAATCGCTGATGCCATGTGAAACATGAACCTATTTTATGTAACGATGATGTCGCAAGTAAACAGCTGGTTTCAAAGACATTTAACTTGTTATGCATATTTTTTTTTTGCTGGAAAACGTATTGCTTATATTCGTGGTTTGATCAGGTCAATGGAGGAAAAATTGGATGTATAATTATTATTTATTGTAAATGATAGTAGCTCATTGTTTTCAAATCATTGATGGATAAAAGGTAAGTTGTGGACCCATTACTAAGCCCTGTGGGACACCACTGGTTAAAACAAAGCATGGGACTTTCCCACACTGAAAAAAAAGGGTATTGAATTTAAATGATTTATTCATGTGAATAGAGTTACTCAAATTTGTTCAAGAAATATAATTTCCCAAAGTGATATATTCCCATGACATGATTTATCCTATTTCAATCATTTTTGTCACCACTAAATTATAAGATTGTGTTAGTCATGAGTCATTATTTGTCATGAGTTTTTGATGAAAACATTCCAGGATTTTCTCCATATAATGGACTTCAATGGGGTCCAAACGGTTCACGGTCCAAATGAGAGTTTCAGTGCAGCTTCAAAGGGCTTTAAACGACACCAGACGATGAATCAAGCGAAACGATCGAATAATTCTTTTCCTGAGTCAATTTGTTCATTTTGTTCGTTGAATGAACCAAATGACACGAAAAAAGATTCGTTCATTTTGATGAACGAGTTCGAACAGGAGAGTCACGAACGCGCATCACAGAACAGAGCAAGGCGAGCATTTGAGCTTATAAAACTTAAACTTTGTTATTTATTTATTAAATGAGTGGTCGTTTCGCTTGATAAGACCCTTATTCATCGTCTGGTGTCGTTTAAAGCCCTTTGAAGCTGCACTGAAACTCATTTGGACCATGAACCGTTTGGACCCCATTGAAGTCCATTATATGGAGAAAATCCTGGAATGTTTTCATCAAAAACCTTCATTTCTTTTCGACTGAAGAAAGAAAGACATGGACATCTTGGATGACACGGGGGTGAGTAAATTATCAGCAAAAGTTTTTTTTTTTAAAGTGAACTACTCCTTTAATTTAATATTT